TGTCACTGGAGATTGCATATGTAAAAATGTCCCTTTGAGCTGTTTCCTTTTGTGATGCATCTTTTCCCAGATGCTGATGCATATCAAAGCCAGTTTCCAACAGATGAGTGCAGGTCCATCTTGAAAACATCATTCAGCCAGCCAAACTTTCTATAAATATTGTGCATGTTAAATTGCACAGATTATTTACTAAATGTGAAAAAGTTGTCAATGCCCTGAGAAGAATGTTTACTTTGTTAAAGACCCAAGCAAAGACTCCAAAAGTTAGGATGGCGGTAAGTATAGAGAAGTGCGTTCTGACTCATAGTGATCCTTTATAGGGTTTCCAAGGAGCTGCTGGTAAGTTTGAACTTCTGACTTTGCGGTTAGGGGTCCAGGGCTTATCCTACAGTACCACATTAGAACCCCAAAAGTTAGGATAGCTTTTGAAAAATAAAAGCCCCAAATCTTGAGTAAACATAATCGAACAATTTCTTCCTTTTCATTTCCTTCTCTGTGGGGGCCGGCCTGCAAGTATGGTGTTTGCTTTTTCACTCCCTGCACCAGAAATTGTTGTTTACAGAGTGTCTGCTATACACCAGTCCCTACATGAGTCACTTTACAGCTGTTGTTGTTGTTATTAAGTGCTGTCAAGTTAGTTTCAATCCATAATGACCCTGTATAGAGTTTCTGAGGAGTGGCTGGTGAGCTTGAATTGCCAACCTTGTGGTTCAAACCAACTTTGCAGTCCAGCACATTAACCACAGCGCTACACCAGGACTCCATTATAGCTGCTAGCTAATTTAAGTTAATCCTCACAGTTGCACAGTGACATTATTACTGTTATTCTCCCCACTTTACAGACAAGAAAACAGAGATTCCAAAGGTTGAAGATAGATCGCAGTCACCAAGTTAGTAAATGGCAGGGTTGAGGTGAGAAGCCTATCTTTCTAGACCTGGGTTTAGTTGGTCTCTAGGCTCTGCAGTCTCCTGTTGGGGTTGTTGTTGTTAAGTGCTATCAAGTTGTTAAGTGCTATACTCATTGTTAATATGTTGTTAAGTGCCATTGAGTCAGATCCTGTATAGAGTTTTGGAGGAGAGTCTGGTGAGTTTGAATTGCTGATCTTTTATTTCAAACCAACCTTTTGGACCAGTACTTTATCTTACAGTGCCACACCAGAACTCCTCATAGTGATCCTTTACAGGGTTTCTGAGGAGCAGTTGGTGAATTTGAACCACCGATCTTGCTGTTAAGAGTCCAGTGCTTATCCTTCCAGTGCCACACCAGGACTCCTCCTGTTGGGGTCGTTGTTGTTGTTGTTAAGTACCGTGGAGTCAGTTCCGACTCATAGTAACCCTATACAGGGTTTCCGAGGCTATAAATCTTTACGGGAGCTGAACGCCTCATCTTTCTCCCACAGAACAGCTAGTAGTTTCGAACTGCTGACCTTGAGGTTAGCAGCTCGACTCCTAACCACTACGCTACCAGAGCTCCTTTCCTATAGGGGCAGAAGCTTGCATTTATCACAGGCTCTGTTCTAAGTGCTTTACAGGAATTTGCTCATTTAATCTTAACAAAACTCCATGAGATTTGACATTTAATTATCCACAGAGAGGTTCAGTAATATATCAGTGGCCATAATAGCTCGTATATGGTAAAGCAAATTTTGAATGTGATGTAGATGTATTATGTCCTTTCAAAGACCTTCCCTGCCCTCCTCCTGGCTCCCCATCCCAACTTTGAGAACCATATCCCTGAGGGATCAATGCAACCCCTCTGTGCAGCAAAGTTAATTTTAGCAATAAGCATGTAGGGACTAACATTAATGATTCTTCTTTATTTGGTTTGAGTTTTAAAATAAACATTTAAATTTTAATTATAAAAATATTTGTTGTTGTTGTTGTTAAGTGCCACTGAGTCAGTTCCAATCCATAGCGACCCTGTATAGTGTTTCTGAGAAGTGGCTGCTGAGTTTGAATGGCCGACCTTGTGGTTCAAACCAATCTAGCAATCTAGCACATTAACCCACAGCACCACACCAAGACTCCAAAAATGTTGTTTGGATTCAGTTAAATATAAATTTAAATTTGCAAGCCTCAAACAAAAATATTACCTCTCCTAGTTCCCACTTTACTTCATTGTATGCAAAAACTTGAAGTGATCACATAGGGTGACAAAGCTGAGGGACTCAAGTTCAATTCCATCATACTGCCATTTTTGTTTGGGGTTTTCCTGATGATCTTTCTTTGAAGATGTATTGCTGTAGCTATTCCAGGCTCGTCTGCTTGTCCTTTCTAGTGGGAATATCCCACCTCAGAAGGTTCTGGATGGGGCTCAGGATGTAGCTAACTTTTAACCCTTTTTTATTTGTACTTTAAATTATATGCAGATGTTTCATCTATTATTATCTGGTCTGGCCCTGTGGAAAGCATAGCTTATCCTCTCTGGGATACCTAACCTTCACCTCAGATTACAGCATTTCCTGCTCCCTGGGTCACAGTTAGGGAACATAGTTCCCTTTGAAAAATCATCCTTCACTTAGCAAAACAAAGGCAATGATAGCCCTGTGACAATCCTGCTTCTATCTGCAGCTGTCCCTGCTCCCAGAGTCTGCCTTCAGATTTGTTCATAATGCCCTACACTTGTGTCTTCACCTCCGTTGGAGGAACACTGAGCTTATATTGGGTGCTCAGTGTATGAGGGGGCTTCAAAATGTTCATGAATGAACGGAATTAAAAGATAATGAAACACGTCCATTTTTTTTTTGAACTTTTGAAGCCCCCTCATATTTCCTTGAGTGGTGATCACAGAGAATGGGCTGACTCACTGTGCACATGCCCTTTTGTGTGCAGTGAGAATTCATTGTGCTTCCCAGACCCTACTTCATTCGATTGTTAGCTCAGGGGACAAAAAGAGCAAATTCAGATGCTTGAATAATCCACAAACCCATCAGTCTGCTGCGGGAGAGCTGAGAGGTTAAACTGTCCCATATGTGGTACTTCAAAGGTCTATTCCCAGCACAGTGTGAAGTAGACTTCTTCAGTTATCTAAAGAGAAAATTCAGAACACTCCCTGAGATTCCAGATTGCAATTAGAGGTATAGGCAGTGTGCAGGGCTATGACCACGTTGTTAAGCATTTGATCCTTTTTCAACATTTGAAATGGCTTCTGTCCAAATATGTGCCAAGAAAAAGTCTTTCAGGCACACATACTTTAACATTCTCCTTAAAGAGGTCTGATACAATCTGCACTCTAAGTAAAACACAGCAAATCATCGTAAGGAGGGAACTTGCAGAGGGGGATTTCTTCAAAGTGTGGCATACAAAATATTCTAAACCTTTAGTCAAACTCAGCCAAATTCCATTTTTCTGGTAATACTTTCTTCCTCAGTCCTCAGGACTCCCCTGCCATTTCTGTCATGAAGCCTACCTTTGCAGGCAGAAAGTTGTTGTTTTAGGCGCTGTTAAGTAGTTTCCTACTGATAGCAACCCTATGTACAACAAACAGAACCAAACACCGCCCAGTCCTGTACCATCCTCACAATTGTTGCCATGCTTGAGCCCATTACTGTGGCCACTGTGCCAATTCATCTCATTGGGTGTCTCCCTCTTTTTTGCTGACAGCCCACTTTACCAAGCATGATGTCCTTCTCCAATGACTAGGCCTTCCTGATAATATGTCCAAAGTATAAGAGACTAAGTCTGGTCATCTTGCTTTCTAAGGAGTTTCTAAGGTTGTATTTCTTCCAAGACAGATATTTTTTACTTTTGGCAGCCCACAATGCTTTTAAAATTATTCTCTAACATCATAGCTCAATTCTATATGTTGTTGTTGTTAGGTGTCATCGTGTTAGTACCAACTTATGGAGACCTTATGCACAAGAGAACGAAACACTGCCCAGACCTGGGCCAGCCTCACAAACAACGTGGAGTTTCATTCTGTACTGCTGTCCATGGTGTCTACTGGCTGAACTCTAAGCACTCTGACATCACCTGCTCATGAAGTCATCTGTATTGGTCTCTTCCCTTTTTCACTTCTTCTTTTGTATCAATGGCTTCCCCAAAATCTGTGCTGTCTCAGTGTCTACTTCTGGGGACCTCTAAACAATGATGGTCCACAGTAGCAAATGTGTCTATGATGGTGATTTACAGGTTTTGATGAATTGCTGAGCAGGAGGAACTTGTATGCGGCATGAGTCTTGCTCCTGGCCCTGCTGGTCACCCTTCTCCACAAAGGAACTCAGTAAGGCATGGGAGGTAGTGTACATATCCAAGGTCATCATGATATAGGCCATTTTTGTGTTATTGTTTTTTTCATGCTTTTCGTGACTCCCCCCACCTCATGATGTAATTATATGTACTATAAAAACCCTGGAAACCATGAATTTTCCTCAATTTGGCTTCACGCTCTTGAGGAGCTTGGCATTGTTTTAGACACTGAGACTTTCCCACGGCCTAGTCCTATTTAAAGACTGCCTCTCTATTTAGAGTTCACATGGACTAAAAGAAAAAAAGCCTCCAAACCTAATGGAAGAACATGAGATAGGCAGAGGAAAAACCAAGCTGCTTCTTAAAAAGGCTGAATGGGCTCATGTCTCAAGTCTCAGAGTTTGTCTTTTCTTTTTGTTTTTGCTAACCAGTGTGGAATTTTATTATGGGTTATGAAGTGAGGTCTCTCTAGTTCTGAACATTCCCAAAGTCAGTTAAGTTCCACATGGAAAAGCCAAAACCGCTTTCAACCCCTGCCTCCTATGCAGTGTTTCCACAGCCCTTGCCGGTGATTGAGCCAGCTGTCTGCCTCCTTTTATGAGCAACAATGAGGCAACAAGAGTCAGAAAACTATTCATTTCAGGAAACCACCGTATCCTGTGAGAAGTAAGAAGTATAACAGCACAGGATGCGCCTTGGGTCAGGGGGACGTGACGAGCCTGCAGCCTTTGTGTCCTCCTCTGCCCCAGAAAGGCTTTGGTCAAGTCGGTAGCTCCTGTCCGAGCACAGCCAGGAGCCCAGATAGGGGCTGAATGGCCATCTCCACTGGCATGTCTTTGATCCTGCTACCGCTGCTGCTCCTGGGTCGGCCTGGAACTGGGGCCGAGGCAGAGACTTTAGGTGAGGCTGTGGTGTGTGCTGGGGATGCCTGTTATACAGCTTACTGGGGCAAGCTGAGTGCGGATGAGGCCCAGCTCAACTGCAGTGCTAATGGAGGCAACCTGGCCACAGTGAGAAATGCAGAGGAGGCACGGTACATCCAGGAGGTCCTAGTCCAGCTTCTGCAGCCGGAGGTACAGCTAACTGCGCGCATGGGCAAGTTCTGGATTGGGTTGCAGCGCGAGAAGAGCAAGTGCCTGGATCCCAGCCTGCCCCTGAAGGGCTTCAGCTGGATTGGTGGTGGCGGGGGGAACACACACTACTCTAACTGGCACAAAGAGCTCAAGAACACGTGCGTCTCCAAGCGATGTGTCTCCCTGATGCTTGACCTGTCCTTGCCACACCTCACCAACCAGCTCCCCAAGTGGTCTGAGGGCCCCTGCGGAAGCCATGGCTCCCCAGGAAGCAACATCGAGGGCTTCGTCTGCAAGTTCAGTTTCAAAGGCATGTGCCAGCCCTTAGCCCTGGGAGGTCCAGGCCAGGTTACCTACACCACTCCCTTCCGGGCCACCAGCTCCTCCCTGGAGGCCGTGCCCTTTGCCTCAGTGGCCTCCGTGGTGTGTGACGATATGGATACACAGAAGAGTCATTATTTTCTGTGCAAGGAGAAAGGTGCTGATGTGTTCAACTGGGGCACCTCGGGTCCCCTCTGTGTCAGCTCCAAGCTGGGCTGTAGCTTCAACAATGGAGGCTGCCAACAGGACTGCTTCGAGGGGGGTGATGGTTCCTTCCGCTGTGGCTGCCGGCCGGGGTTCCGGCTGCTGGACGACCTGGTGACCTGTACCTCCCGAAACCCCTGCAGCTCCAACCCCTGCAAAGGGGTGGCCACATGCGAGCCCGGGTCTCTGGGAGAAAGTTATAAATGCCGCTGCCCACTAGGTTACCAGTTGGACCTGAGTGAGCTGGACTGTAGTGATGTGGATGAGTGCCAGGCCTCACCTTGTGCCCAGGAGTGCATCAACACCCTTGGGAGCTTCCACTGTGTCTGCTGGGTGGGCTATGAGCCTGAGGAGGGGACCTGTCGGGACTTGGATGAGTGTGCCCCAGACCGAAACCCCTGCGCACAGGCCTGCACCAACACCGATGGCTCCTTCCACTGCTCCTGCGAGAAGGGCTACGTATTGGCTGGAGAGGATGGCACCCAGTGCCAGGATGTGGATGAGTGCACAGGCCCAGAGGCCAGTCCTTGTGAAGGCCTGTGCTTCAATATCCCAGGCTCCTTCCACTGCGGATGCCTACCAGGCTGGGAGCTGTCCCCCGATGGTGTATCCTGTACCCTCAATCATACATCCTCTGGATCAAGGTCAAGGGGGCCTGCACTGCAGGAAGAAGACCATGGGACCACTGCCCCATCTACAATAACATCCAATCCCCCCAAGAGCCCTGAGGCCATCTATGAAGAGGCAGCCATCACAGAGAGACCCTTTCTACATTCCAACACCCTTATCACCCATGCTCCAACCAAGGCCCTGACCTCCAGTGGGCCCCCTGACATCAGGGTGGAGTCCAGCACCAGCCACCCCACCGCCACTGGCCATGCAGAGGATTCTGTGGCCAAGCAAATGGAAGACACCAACGATGGACAGAAGCTGCTTCTATTCTACATCCTGGGCACTGTGGTGGCCATCTTACTCCTTCTGGCTTTAGCCCTAGTGCTACTAGTCTATCGCAAGCGGAAAGCAAAAAAGGCTCTGAAAAAGGAGAAAAAAAACCCCAATGCAGCTGACAGTTACTCTTGGGTTCCTGAGCGAGGAGAGTGCAGGGCCGTGGAGAATCAATACAGGTAAGAGAGTCCTAATAGAAAGTGGGAGAGCCCATGGGTAAGGGTGAAGAAGGAGATGGGTGGATAGCACAAACCAAGAATAGGGCCAAGACCAACAATATCATCTACACTGGATATTGAAAAGTAAATCCCTGTTAGGCAATCTGGAGGCACTTCTGAGCATAATCTGATGAGTGTTCATCTACAATAGGTACATTCTGTGGGTCTAGATGTACACATGGCAAGAAGCCAGGGATTTCCAATCTGTCATTTTTTTGTTTTCCATAGTCCAACGCCTGGGACAGACTGTTGACAGGAGATGATCCCAGACCCTTTCAGTTTCTGATGACTGCCACCATCCTCAGATCCTGAAACACGCCGTCGAAGCAGGGATCTCATCCTTTCCAAAGATTGGACTGGAGTCTTAACAAACAGTTGCAAACCATCTCCTTAAAAGACTGTCAACTTGGGAATTAGCAGGAATTTTCTACGTGTGTAGTATCCCTAAAGTGGAAGCTATATGGTAGGCTGATACTTAGGGAATTGTGTGGATTTTAAAAGTACTCACTCATTCTCCCTTTTCAAACTCAGATGTGATTTTTCACATTGATTCTGGATCAAGACCGGTGCTAAACAGGGCTCCCTTCCTTTGTGCTTCCATTCTGTTTACCTTCGTCACCTGAAGAAGAAAAAGCAGTCTGTTAGAATTGAAATGTGTTCCTCTTAGTAGAAGAGAAACTAGGTCATTAATTGTCAGTTATAGTAGAAGGCTTTTTATATTTTGGTTTTCTTTTATCAAAGAGAAAATATGCAGGATTGGAAAGTTTTCTATACATTTACTTTCTTGCATCTACTGTGCCAAGTCCTCTTGAGTTCTGTATTATGTAAATCCCCCCGAATGATCAGAAGTAAAATTAATTGCATAGGGTGCAAGGAGGCAGAGAGTTTAGAAATCTTCAGTTTCCAATAGTCTTGGGTTTATTTGCAAGTGAAGTTTGGAGGGAAAAAACGAGAAAGTTTGTTTGAAGTGAGCTAAAAGTATTTTTGGAAATGTAACCTAAAGGGCTAGAGAGAGGAGGCAGGAGTTTTTTGTTTTTTTTTTTTAAGTCAGTCATGTGAATGCACTGATGTTAATGCACATTCAGCCACTGGTGTGATGAATGCCTAGTAGAAACAAATCCACAAGCAGCTTGTCTCAGAGCCAGTTCAGGTACCTAGAAACCTCTGAAACTTCCCATTTCCACTCCATAATGCTCTGAACCGAAATGCTGTCATTCTGATTGTTTAGTAAAGGATTTATGGTATGTGTAATGTACTGTGTTTGGAAAACTGTCAAAATACAGCATTTCAGTCTAGTACATCCTAAGAATATTGAATCCTGATTTAAGAGTGTAAGATACTATAGAGTTAGGGACTGGTCGTGTGGATTGCCATTTACAGTATTGCTTAGGGGGTTTTCATCCTTTTATTTTAAAAAGGAGTGGGGGAGAGGAGAAAAAGGTTAAAATATTTGTAAACACAAAAGCTGTCCAAAGCGATTTCAACTTCTATCCTCCCTTGTAAGTGTACACCTGCATGCGTATACTCGCTCCTATGACATGTGGTCCTCAACTCTCTTGCTGCCGTGTTGCCAGCTGAAATACTATTATAAAGCAACCTCTAGAGTCACGGAAGTTCAGAGCGTGAGAAGTGCCAAGCAGCAATTGGAGTCTCTAGATACCTGAGGGCTTTTTGCTGATATCCTGTCAGAGAATGTGCAGAGAGAAAGGGTCTCTTTCCAAGAACTGTAAAGTTTGTGCCTCAGTACAGAGTCTCTCTAATGATTCTAGTTTTGCCATAGAAACACATGCCTCCTGGAGGTAGACACCATGAGAGAGTTGAATAGCTCTTCAGGAACATGACCTTTGGTCATGGAGGTTGTGTGTCGCAGAGTCGATTCCAACTCATAGGGACCCTGTATAAGCTGTACTTTTTTACAGGAGCGGGAAACCTCATCTTTATCTTATGGAGTGACTGGTAGATTCAAACTACTGACCTTGCAGCTAGTAGCCTAACTCAAAATCCACTACCCTACCAGGGCTCCTTACATGACCTTTAGGCTCAAGAAATGTTCTTTGGACAATTTTGAAATACAGATGCCATAGCTCAGATTTTTGTTTTATTTTGTTTAAGAAAATAAAAAACTGAAAGGATGAAAAGGAAAGACTGTAGGTCTTAACAGAACTTCTGCTTATAGCATAGTGGTTATGAATTGGACTGCTAACCTCAAGGTCAGCAATTCGAAACTACCAGCTGTTCTGTGGGAGAAAGTTGAGACTTTCTGCTCCCATAAAGATTTACAGCCTCGGAAACACTGTACAAGGTTGCTGTAAGTTGGAACTGACTCCATAGCACATAACCAACCAACCAAGGGCTCCTGGTATGGTGCTGTATGATCAGCACTGGACTATGAACCACAAAGTCAGTAGTTCAAACCCACCAGTTGCTCCTCAGAAACCCTATTCAGGGTCACTATGAGTTGGAACCAACTCGATGATACTTAACAACAGCAGTAGTTTTCAGTTTAACATTGGAAAATGGAAATCACATGATTTAACGTGTAAATGAGACAGAGACTGGTAATTTGGCATGACTTAGTGGGCCCCAAACCAAAACCAAAGTCACTGCTATCAAGTTGATTTCAACTCATAGATACCCAATAGGACAGAGAAGACTTGCTCCTTAGAATTTCTGTTACTAAATCGTCACAGGAGCAGACAATCTCATCTTTTTCCAACAAAGCAACTGGTGGGTTTGAACTGCGAGTTTTGCAGTTAGTAGCCCAATTATTAACCCACAGAGCTACCAGGGCTCCATTCAGTGGGCACAGGACCCTCAAATTGAGATTTGAAGTCATGTATTAAAACCAACCATCTAAACACTTAGATGAGTTAAGGACTTGAACAGACAGTCACTGACCAGTATTTGTATGAGACTAAAAATTAATGTATACTCAATAATTTCACCTAAGCACTATTTATATTCCTATTCTTATCATTTGGGGTGACGAGAAGACACTTCTTTAAGGAATGAGAAGATCCTGTAAGGTCTGGAATATGCTGAGTTGATAAGGTGCCTATTCATTTTTTTTTTTTTATCAGTGTTCTGATTCCAGATACACCCCCAAACCCATAATCTGATCTCTGCATTATAGTTCTTCAGTGGGTGGAAATGTGCAACCTTGATTTTAACCCCAAGAGGATACTGGAGCCATTCTGTGAACCCCACATGTGGAGAAAGAGCTAATAATAACACATGTCCCACCATCTTTCCCTAACAAACGGGGTCCCTCACAGGATGGAAATCATTGGCTTGATACAAACACTTTGTTGTTATTAAGTGCCATTGAGTCAGTCCCAACTCATAGCTGTATATGAGACCCTCTATAGGGTTTCTTAGGTACAGCTGCTGAACTCGAGTTGCCAACCTTGTGGTTCATAGTGACCTTGCAGTCCAATTCATTAACCCACAGTGCCATGCCAATATTCCACAAACACTTTGTTGTTGTTGTTGTTGTTGTTGTTGTTAGGTGTGATCGAGTCAGTACCAACTCATAGCGACCCTATGCACAACAGAATGAAACACTGCCTGATCCTGGGCCAACCTCACAATTATTGCCATGCTTGAGCCCATTGATGCTGCCACTTTGCCAATCCATCTCGCTAGGGTCTTCCTCTTTTTCTCTGACCCTCCACCTTATCAAACATAATACCCTTCTCCAGTGACTGGTCCCTCCTGAAAATATGTCTGAAGTATGAGAGACTAAGTTTAGCCATCCTGGCCTCCAAGGAACACTCTGGCTCTTCTTCTTGCAACACAAATACTTTGGTCTACCTTTTATTTCTACAGTGACTTTGAGACACACAGATCTTTGTTTGGGAGCTCAGGACCAACAAGCACACGACCACTAACTGACATCATCCATTTATCAGATGGGCCAGGTTGTGGAATGCAGTAAGAGGCATTCAATCTAACCAGGAGGCTGTACAGGTTGTTCTTTCCATGCGCTGACCACTCCAATGGTATCATTAGGCCGGTCATTGAAACATGTTGTTGCCCCCAGGCAGCAGAATCACCTGGGGCTATGTGCAAAAGGAGAGGATGAGGCTTGACAATGGACTTTAGAACAATGGGGAGTTTTTTCGTTCAAAGAATTTCCCATAACTCAATAATTCTGGGAGACTCTTGGAAAAGTATAATGTGGACTAATCTACCCCTCCATCCTCCTAAAGCAAAACATTTAGAAAGGAGATGCTTCCTTGAACTGGGTACGGAAGCTAATGGTGACCATTCTGGAATTTAAGATCACAATTATTGCTTGTTTCTTTTGCTCATTTTTTGGACCAAATGTTACTTTCCTTGTGACATTAAGTGGGAGGATTACACCAGGTTCTGCTTCCTGGGGAGGCGGGAGGCAGACTGGAAGCACTGACAGGCCCTGCGAGGCCACTTCTAACACTAACGACAGAACAAAAACCTTCAGAAAAGCTGAGCTCATATTAACATCTTCTTCCCAATGATTAGGAAAAAAGGTGGACCAGAAAGTTAAACATGTATATGTATGCATAAATACGTTGTGTAGGATGAACTAAGTTGTAAATGGAACTTTTCTCTTCAACATGCGATTGTTGCTAATCTCTCTTAAATTCTTCTCATGAGTACTTGTTTAACCATGTGTGTTGGGCCTGAATTGTTAATCACTGAACAACTTTTGAAGAATATGGATATGATTGTCAGTTATCTCTGTTCCAATCCTCTCCTCCATAACTACGTCTGTGGAAACTAAGAGAATAGAGATGAGATTCGATTTAAAAAAAAATTAAACAAAACAAAGCATTTACTGAAATCAAAACAAGTCATTTTTAAAAGCAAAATAGGAAAACCTTTCCCTATTCTTTTCCTTTTTCATTTCTACATTGTTTCAGTCAGGGAAACAGGAAAGCATTGCTTTCTAGCAGCTGCAAAATGGTTTAGTGTTCTCTACATATTTCTATCACCTTGAACAATAGCCTTACTTAGCTTGGAAATCGGAGATATGATTCCTGAAAACATCTGTCCATGTTCTGGCTGTGAACTCAGTCAGTACTTAAATCTTTATGGTTTTTAGAGTTTGTCTCCCCCCAAAATAAAATAAAATAAATGAAGAGGGGTACTGGACAATAGTCCAAACTTCCCACATATTTAATATTCAAATTGCATTCCAGATTCGCAAGTCTAATAATTATTGAAATGATTTTTATTTTTTAAATGAACTGTGTTTCAGTCTGTGTTTGG